GTGATGAAAGATTTGAGCATAAATATGACATATTCGCAGTCAGAAGACAATTAAACACTGTCACAACAGAAGGTCGTTTGAACCATGATTGTACATATATATATATATCTACAACATCCTAAAGGATTTCCAAAGTTCAAAGAAAATCAAAAACTATACAAGACTTTCTGTCAGTCTTAACACTGCATAGCCCCTTCTTACATAAAGTTGTTCTCATTACATGGACAAAATGAGGCAGATATAACCTCCAAACCTCTTAATGCCTGTGTTCCCCCCCCCGCCCCTGACTATCTCCACAGAACATTAATTTCCTCTCGCGCTTTCCATCACAGGGGTAAGAATTAGCCCGGTCCCTTGTTCAGCTCATTCACTCCCTTCCACAAACCAATCCGAGCGTGTCATGAGCCAGAGAAACCGAGCATTATGCTCGTGATTGACCCTGACCCCCATGTGCCACGTAGTGCCATGGGAGCTAGGGCAGGGAGACTGATAACCTTGTCTGACCCGGGCTCCATGGATCCACCTCAGTGTCACCTTTTGCACAGAACAGAGCGACTGTTGCTGATTCTCTCAAAGATAAAATAGGAGGCAGGAGTACCAGAGATAAAAAAGAAAAAGAAAAAAGAAGAGAGACAGACGTATGTAGATAAGCGCGACCGAGCCAGGAAACCGCACATCATCTGAAAAACCTCTCAATTTCATCATTTCGGCTTTCATCTTTCTTTTTCAAGCAATATCTTTTATGGTCCATGCACAGCACATGCTGTGATCTCAAGACAGCTGTGTTATGTATTATTAAATCCATGCTGCATGACTTTACAAAAGTGACTGAAATACAAATTTACTTCATAGCTGTCAATTAATGCTCACTTTGAGGTGAATTGTTAGAGCAAGCATTACTTAAAGGGGCCAGTTGTATATGTTTTACAAGGTCTTCTCTGATGTCATTGCAGAAAATTTCCACTCATGTCATGTGACATTTTCCACATATCACCAGCTACCAAGAGGCCATTAGAAATAATGGTAGCAACAAAAGGCTCACAGATAGTGTCCAGGTTCCAAACTGTCGAGCCTGTCCCATCTTACCTATTCATCTGACCTGAGTGATTGCTTATCGCTGTTCAGGCCTCCCCCCGTCACTCTGTGATTCTCCTGCTCTTCGCTTGCCCCCGCTTTTGTTCCCACTTTGCAATCAGCATGTGTACTGGCAACCAAATCATGATAGATGGCTGCAAAGTGACAGGCTGAAGAAGCATAACCCTGTCTAGAGAGGTGAACATGATATAGACCACTATAAGGCTAGTCAGTCAGGCTGATCCAGAAGCTTGTCAGGACTAGTGCAAATATATTTGCAGGTTCATTTAAAATGCAAGTACACAGGTTATTTAAATGGATTTATTTGTCATTTATTGTAACTTTTGGGTTAAAAGAGGCAGGAAAATATTGGTCCCTTCAAAAACACACATTACAAATAATTAAAATAAGTCCAGAGTGTACTAACGGTTTGTGGATGCCTGTAGAAATAGATCTATTCCTGACCTGAGTACAGTACATTACATTTTACAAGTAAGACTGAAAGAAGTGAGTATGTGGGTTCTCTGAATCTTAGACTTCAGAGTACCAGCACGATTTTAGAGACCCTTCATGAACACAGATGGCATGGGTCTACTCAAATATCTGGAAAAGCTGCTGGATTAACAGATCTCTCTCTTGCTGTTTACTCTCCTCCAGACCGGCCACCAGCTCCTGTCAATGTGTCTGTCATGCACCTGCGAGCCGACTCTGCAACTATATCATGGGAAGTTCCAGAGGGGGACATAATAATTGGTTTCTCCATCTCACAGCAGGTAATTCTTAAAACTTCAAATGCAAAAAAAGGAAAGAAAAATAAATTCAAAGTTTCCTTCTTTCTTTCTTTTTTGTTGTTTTAGCCCTTTTGATTTGTAAATAAGCTTTCATCATTTCCTGTTTTTGGTGCCAACATGCCAGCAGATAGACTGGTGAAGTGGTGCATAATAATAATTACCTGCATAAAATTGGTACTGGCTGAATGGAGCATGGCTCTTAGCGTGAAGCTAGAATAAAACCTGGTATGCCCAATTTGCAGAGAGAAAACATGAATGCACAGAAGTATGTGATGCTGCCAAAAGTGCATTTTTTTTTTCATAATGAAAAAATTTCAGGCTTAAAATAGGAAAGCCAGTAAATGCTAACAACGAATGACAGAATGCAATACGCTACTGTAATCATGTTTACGCTTTACGCAGCTGAAAACATTATGCACCCATTTACTTTGTTTTTCATTCAGTGTGACTGATGGGCTGAACACGACACCCACTCTCCTTCTTCCTCCTGTATAGCAGCTGCATTTGAACACCATCAGCATTCGCCTTCAGTGTCTATGGCAGTTTAATCACAAGATTATTCATTGTTTACAGACAGCTACATGACTTTTTTTTCTCCCCCCAACAATAAAATCTCTCTGTCAAGCGCGGCCATAGAAATAAATAAGAAGACATTTGGCCTGATGTCACTCTAAGTGCAGATTGTTTGTGAGCGCTGAGATCCCTGCATGTTACTGGAGGAGTAATTCTTTTTTGCTTTAGGTCCTGATTGCTCCAATAGCGTTCGGAGAAGTCAAAGATAAAGTTTGAGATTGTGAAAACTTGTCTCCCGGCACTTGTGGTCTAACTTAATCAGACATCAATTCCTAGTCGAGACCCCATATGGTGAAAATAAAGTACCAACTGCTAATATAATAAAATACTCAGCATGACTTTCACCAGAACCTGGAATATTTTCTGGTTGGTCACCTCTACCTCACATTGGTTCCCTGATTGTTTTTTTAATGACACTGGAGAGAAATACATTGTTGACTATAGCACTAGCATAAAGAAAAAACCTCATGAGGTGAAACAAAGACTGTCTTACCTTTAGAGCCATTTTGAGGTTGTATTTATGCTATCACTGAATCTACTCTGCTCTTTGCTTTCTGTTTGACCCTGCGATTTCACGCATTAACAATATTGCTAAATATCCAAATCATTTTTTAATGTTTCTGTAATGGTTATTCTACCAGTACTTGCAAGTTCCTTAATCCAAATTCTATTTTTAACGCTTTAATATGATTATTGTGTTTATCCATGAATTTTTCTTATTTTTTGTTTTATCAAAAAGCTGGAAAAATAGTAAAGCGCATTATTATTCATTATGTTTTGATTAAGATGCTAATTACATTTATATACCTGCAATCCTGAACAGAAAAATGAGTTTTAGTGGTTAAATGTTAAACTCGATTAATTTCTGACTTGTCAGAGTAGTCACATTTGGTTATGTGCCTAGTAAATAAAAGATTTTTAGTTTTTGGCAGATTTCTAAAACATTTGTGGTATCTTATTTTTATGACTGGTGATCCAATGCATTTTTAAAACAGTGAATATTTTAAAAAAGATTTTACTGTTTTTTTGGTCCGAATCTCGAGGTCTTATTCAAAGAGAATTACTGTGTTTCGCTCTAGAATATATGTATGGTGGGTCTTTACCACAGAGTGTATATTAAGGAGTGACATAAAAACGACCTAAAATCTGCATTCTTTCTAACCATCAGCAAATGGGTTGCTGGTCTTATTTTGCACAACATGATGTTTGGTTTGTAAGTGATAGTGCAAGGAAAACAGATCATAGAGCAGGTTATGCTTTAGGGTGGACCTAACTTTTGATAAATTGTTAAAGGTGAGTGGGCAGCAGAGACACCCCTCATTTGTAATGTCTGGTTTAAAAGAACCAAGAAGGTGCCAGCCTAAATGCTTAGCTCAAGACTTCATTCTATAGTGCTTGCGTTACAATACAAACACTATGTAAACATTTGTTGTGAATTCACGCCAAATAATAGAGAACTGGATTCAATTCACTATCGCTTTGTTTTTCTTCTATTCAAATATTCAGAGGCAGGATGGACACATGCAGCGATTCATCCGGGAGGTCAACACAACCAGCCGTTCTTGCGTTCTTTGGGACCTGGAGGAGGATACAAACTATATCATTCAGGTCCAGTCTATTGGCCTCTATGGCGAGAGTCAAGCCAGCAAGAAGGTCCATTTTCATACCCTTAAGAAGTCAGACCGCTTTCCTTCCAACAGCTCCAACCAAGGTATGGTACTCTGAGACCTTGAGCAAAATTCCTCTAAAAAAAAAAAAGGGGGGGGGGGAGTCTCACAACATGCTATGAGTCATTGAAGCTGTAGACAGACATGATCAAGATTACTGCTACGCTTACAAATCATTGAGACCTGCATGTCTTTGACATGCTGTGGAAAGAAAAACAAAATGTGGCAAGAGCAGAATTTTTGACAGTTCTGCAAAGAGAACAAAATGATTCTCAAAATGAGATAAATATGTGGATTGCTATTGTGTTTCAAACTGAATACGCTCTTCATTTAGTGTCCGAGGAGCCTTCAATCTTATAATCAGTCATTAAACGAATTAAACAGAGAAGTACGCAGCTAGGTGTTTGGTATTATTGTGTGCTCCACACAGAACAGCGAAAATGAAAAACAAAAGCAGCAAGTTGTCTGAGGAGATAAGAAAGAAAGGATTCCAAGGCATGATGAAGGTGAAGACTACAATACATCTCCAAGCAGCTTGAATCCTGTAACCAGAGATGAAATCTAATTAATAAGTTTGAGGGCCACAGGACTGCAGCCATCCTATCTGGAGATGGATGCAGAGAAAAACTGACACAAGACTGAATAGAAGTTTAGAATGTGTAGAAGGGAAGACAACCAAACTTTGAAACAGTACAATAAATCCTTTTGGAGATTACAAAATCTGTCAAAAACTTGTTTAAAGCTAAAAATGATATTTCTCATTTATTAGGAAAATAACAAACTGAATTCATGTTTTTACACCCAAATGTGAGGTGCAACTTAATCAAGCGCAACATTCAACATTCACTAAAACTCATTTTACTGTTCAGAAATTCCAATGAATAACTGTAATTTAGCATCTTAATTTAAAAAATAATATATATATTTTACATGTTTTCTTACATTTTTTTTGTAAAACTGAAAAATTGAACGTTTACAGATGAGAAACAACAATTATTTTTTGGCATTAAAAACATAATTCAGAATAAAGACTCCGTACATACTGCTGGATTAACCATTCCTAAACATAAAATGTGATTTTTGTAATTACCAAAATTTTGGGTAGCTATGGCAAAAACCTTACACTGGGTGATGGTGTCAGAATTGTCGATGCAACACCTACTGTGCTTTATCATTTTTTAATCGATTTATTTATTTATTTATGGGGTTTTTTTGCAATTGGTGACACATGGTGGCATAAATGTGTACAGAGTACAATAAAACAAAAAAAAATCATCAGAGTGTCAGAGAGATCTACTGTGTCACAGCTGCTCTAACAGACCTCTAACATCTTAAAGCACCCATATTGACACGATTCAGAAGTGAGCTCTGAGTCCCAATCTTAACTCAGCCATAAGAAATCACACATTCAACCTGACAAAATACATTCAGGAAGAGTGAACAATCTACTAATCTACCAGATAAGACATGTGGAAGTCTAATTAAGTGCCAGATTCCCGCAATTGGCTTAAACAATCGTTATAAACGATTGGGTTAGGGTGGGCAAGATGCTGTCAAATTTGTCTAAGTGCAGTAGAATTGATAAGTTCACAAGAAGCCACGGCACCAGTTTTGTGCATTATGTAACACATTTGTTTTTAATTTTACACGGTTTGCCACGGGCCTTTTTCCCGAGGCACAGGCAGAAGCAACCCATTACAGACACTCTTCCCGCTGTTGCGCTAAAGCCTCTTCTTACTCCTGAATGCTTTTAAGCACCCTAACACTGAGAATGAAATACAGTAAAGGTTAGACAAGAGCAAGTAACCAGAAGCTTCCTCTCAGAGCAGCTCTCTTGCAGGTGGGGGGAGTGGGTTTCAAGGTGAGGGGTTTTATTTCTCCTAGAAACCAACACATTATTGACAGAAGCTTCAAGCAGGTCTGCTGCCAAACTGCTCTGAATTTATGCAGCTCTATATCACTCTGGGTGTTCCTGTTCAAACTCCTCATATTCCATGTGTCGGATCAGCTCGCGGGCAGGAGAAAAAATGAAGACCGTGACCTAAAGAGAATAAGTTTAGTATCTCTCAATTTCATACAGCTCAGATGTGGAAAAGGCTATTTGCTTGTTATATACTTCAGAGCAAAGTCCTCTGGTAATCTTCTCCGCAGTACTTCAGCCACGATTGTGGGATGAGCCAAATGCATTAACTCATAGAATAACGGCAACATTGCTCTAGAAACACGCCTGACGCTTCAAAAACTGTTTTGTGATTTTTATAGTCTTGTCAAAGTCGTGAATATACGGAAGTGCTGATGCAAGGGAATCATAAATGTTTCTGTTCGGCTGACTCAGGTTGCGTATCATTAGTTAAGCTGGCAAGCCTGGCCAAAGCAAAGAGGAAGAAACTAATTCCTGCTCAGCACACGAGTCTGCTCTCATGCAGGAACTGACATTGCATTCCTTTCCTGTTGCTTTACATTAAGTGTCCAGGAAATTATTTTTTTGGCACTTGTGTTTTTAACTTAAGTTTTCTTTAAGTAAAAAAATTGACCTCGGAAAGCTAAATAACCATAAATATATCTCAATAAATTGCTGAGCAAGAGCAAAGACACGGCCGGTGCAGACGCTTGGAAAAGATTTATTATGCAACATTAATCAGGATTTGTAGCCTCTCGAGTCATCCAACTGGGTCAGAGAAACAGCCCATTCAGTGATGCTCCTCATTTGTAGGATTTTGTTTTGGTGCGTAAAAGACATCAATGTCAGCTTTCCATAAATCTAATGCCGACACTGCTGACTCCTCACGCCCAAGCTTTAAAGTCCAATCACATCAAGTTTCTAGGTGCAACTTTTGTGAACCGCATTACTCAACTTCTCTTTTCTTGTTTGACCCTGTATCAGTATTTATGATTTCAATTTTCTTGTCAAACCTAATTCAGACTGAATTACATTCACACGTGGTGTGACTCACACAAACCATCATACACCAATTGAGGGTGTAGAGTATTGTGATTCTCCAATCAATGACAGCATCCATTCTTACATTTCACCCATGAAAACCTGTCCCAGCTTAACTCTTATAATAAGATCTGCAGGTTGAGCTACAGGAATCCAATGTGACCCATTTTTCACTAAGCATTCACCCACATGTTAAAAACAGAACTAGGCTGTCTGGTGGTCACAGCCCACAACTGGGTTATTAAAAAAAAGTTTTCCACATTCAGGAGTGAATGTCTTAATGTTAAAATACGCATAGAAAAATATCTGAACACTACAAGGGATCAAGCAGATGAAAAGACAGCAGACTCAACTAGCTTATTATTTATCACAATATCAATAACAAAAAAGACTCCCCTAAATTTCTGCATATTAACAACAAACAAACAAACAAACAGAAAACGCAGTGTCTGTTATGTTTTTAATTTATAATTTTTTGAAATCTTAATGCGCACTGAGTTCATGTGATATTTTTTGTTGGAGATCTTCCTGCTGACTGTTGTTCCATAAAAGTCATTTTATCCTAGCTGGCTCCAGCACCACAGAGCCATTTCAGAGGTCCTTTGTCACAGCCAAGTGCCTTCTATTGAAACTAAATTGATTTGTGGTATACACCAGACAACCCAGAGTCAGAGCTATGATACATATGAATCAATAGGATGGTTTCTTTCTCTCTTTTTTGTGAACAAAGCAATTTTATTAATAATGTGATTACATATTGGTGTATATTATTTACCTGGGCTGGCCAGACTCTGCATCCTCCCATTTTCTATGAAGTATTTCCTGGCAAGATTCAATAAATACATTGGAATAGACTGCAGCACTCCTTTTATAGCATCGATATCACTTTCCAAAGTCTATTTCAGCTTCATTAGTTTCACAGAAAGCTTGTGTGAGTGTATGTTTATGTGTGTCAGCTGTCCTTCAAGAGAAGTAAGCTGTAGTTCTGCCTTTCACTTGATTCCCCTTTCAGTCAAATTTCAACTATACCAAGAAGATATATATATATTAGGGGTGCAACGATACTC